TTTCTGTAAAGATATATATATATATATAAATAGCCCAAGAGGTTATGAGTTCTAACCCCACCGGCCGTAAGTAATGGTTCGTGTAGTAAATGGCGACTGGTGCTCGTTAAATCTGTCGGGTCATAAGGTTTTCCATGTTCCCATTACAAATTAATACCTTTAAGGGTACTGAATTGGAGATTGGTTGTTCTATGGCTCAGGTCAAAATTACGATCTGTGGATGAAAGGAGGTATGAATGGGTCCGCCTTATAAACGGGCTACGACGTGTGTGGGACTGAAGTAATATTCTTGACCATAGATGGCGCCACTGAAAAACAAGAAACGCAATCTCAGCCTTAAACTTGCTTGGTTTCATCTAACAGGCTTGCTAATATTGGCAAGTGGCAGTCGAAACAACCACATATCGTATATCTGTGTGTGTGTGTGTGTGCGTGCGTGCGTGCGTGTGTGAGTGCGTGAGTGTGTGTGTGTGTGTGTGTGTGTGTGCATGCGTGCGTGCATGTGTGTTTGTGCATGCGTGCGTGCATGTGTGTTTGTGGCTCCGTCGCAAATAATTAGTATGACAGTTCGTGGCAATATAGCACTGTTTGTGTTAACAATTTCTACAGCCATTTCAGAAAAGATCAAAAATCAATTTAAATAATTATTTCGTAACTAAATCTTGATTTCTATAAATATACAAAATTATTCTAAATAAATACTTAACATAAAACAAATTATTCAACTCTACTTAAATTTTTACTTAAGACAACCTAACAAAATGACTCTAAATAAATATTTAACGCATAACTAATTTTTTAACACTTCTTAATTTTTTAGTTATTTAAGATAGATAAAATGAAAATGACTATAAAATGACTGATAACTACAAATAGCTGTATAAAAATTATAAATAACGATAAACTAACATATCCATAATAATAATAAAACAACTATATAAAAATAAATTAATAATGTAATTATATAGAATGATTAATATATATATAGTGTTGACAATCGAGAAATACCAGAGGTTATGGTGCCACATAAGAGATCTATATATTTAGATTATTATAAAGAAATATATTAATTAAACTTTTCTTTTTTTTAAAATCACAACTAAGAAACTTTTTGAAATTTTACTAATAGTTAAAATGCTAATTAGTATGAGAAAGAGTATAGGGGAAGGGATTTTTTCTATTGTCGAAGTTATTTTAGAATGAATGAAGCACAATAAAATAATCTCTGCTACGAGTAGATTTGTGCTTTGGGTGGTGCTTTCAATTTTCGAATGTCTTTAACACCATTTCAAGGTTGAGGAACCAGGTTAACGTCCATACCATGTGCAATAACAGAAATAAATTTCAAGCTCATTAAACGCTCATTAGTTAATTTCATTTTAAGTAATAAGTTATTATTGTTTCAAGCCTATTTTAATCCTTCTTACATAAAAGGCAATAAAGCAATAGCGAATAACATTGCATCTAATAAATGAGAATTTTTTTCCTAAACAATTTTCGATTTTTCTGGAAAGTTAACCTTATTTTACGGTACTTACTTTGTAATCGCCAATTGAAATATACATGTTTTTATTAATTTTCCCGAAATAATTTTTTTCGAAATTATTCCTTTACTTGCATTTCTTAGCATAAGTTTGTACTTATGTTATATCAATTTATCACTTAGTTTTGTGAAAAACGTTTAGATAAATCAAACTAAATTCTTCCAAATTGTTCTCATTTTTATTTACTTATCTCGTTATCTCATTTTTATTTACGTCATAAGAGACTGAATTTTGTACATTAAATTTATTTGCTAAATAATCCAGATTTGCGACTAAAAATAAAATAAAAAGTTGACAGTATATGGATACTGCAGTGTTTACAAACAACTTTTAGTAATGACTAACTTTAAGTACTACCTTAAAAGATGTTTTTTCCTATTCTGTTGCGTGTTGCTTGAGACGATATTAGCAGTTGTGTATTATTGGGTTAAGAAAAAGACAATTCCTCCAATTAGAAACTCCCTGTTATTAAAATCGGCAACTACTTTAGCTGAAGAAATTCGGGAAGGAAAGGTAAGTGGTAATCTTTAATCATCTTTACTTTCTGCTTAGTTGATTAGTAATAGTCGTTAAATTTATGAATTTATGCCATGGAGTTTTGTTTATACATCTTTTCGCTTTATGTCATTAAAATTTGTATAATTTTTAAAGCGAAAATCTGTCTGCATGGATGTACAGTGCACAAAAAATAAACGGATTAACCGGGATAACTTTTGATCAAATGATCAGAACATCTCATTTTCTAGGATTGCATCTTAATATTTCAAGAAGGTGATCTTGAGTCATTGTAACGTTGGGATAGAGCGTTCGCTTTCCAATGAGGTTAATCGGGTTCGAATCCCAGTGATCGCTGGTCCATACAAATTACGCACCCGGCTCGCATCGACCACAGTGCTAACGTAAAATATCCTCAGTCGTGGACGGATGGAATGGTAGATAGATCATGGGTTAGAATCCCCTTGCCGTCAGGCTAGTTCAACAATGGTTATAAAATAAAGAAGGTGACCTCAACTGTTAGTGCAGACGATATTTTAAGTAACGAAATCAGACAAAAACAAACATGTTTTCCTTTTTTTTTTCGATGATTAATCTTAGTTTTTTTCGACGAATTCGAATTTCTGATGACTGGAGAATATTGTTCTCTTAGTTGGATTAGGAGAGTGGTCTAAAATTCGGTTCCCGAGAAAAAGAATTTTATGTATACGACTTTTTTAATATTTAATTTCTCAGCAACTATTCGATCGATTTCTTTTACATTTTGTATTTTTTATTAGGCGAATCTACAGTATTTAAAATGATGTAAAAAATTGTATGCAAGTAAAATTGTTTTGACAAGTAATAAATAAAGTAGTAAAAAATAATAAATATTTACTAAAAGTTATTTTATGTTTGTGATTCTCTTTGGCTAAATGAATTTTACAATTGTAAGTAGAAATTTTTGAAATCGCTTGAAAAGATGTCGCGATAATGGTGAAATACGCAAAAAGTAAAATTGACTTTAAGGGGTCTAAACTTTTTACCGTTCTCCTGACCATACTTTGGGTACCGTATTTTCCAGATCACTGCTACCCCCTATATTTTGGAAGTCAGAAATTCGAATCCGTCTAAAAAAGGATGTGTTTTTTTCAGAGAAAATACATTTTGTATGTAATTTCGTAACTTAAAATATCGTCGGTTATACTTAATTAACATATTTGAGGTTACCCCCTCAAACCGATAAGAGTGAGCCCTAGAGGAGCGTGAAGATCCAATCATAAGATCAAAAGTTATTTAAGGTGGTCCGTTTATTTTTGCTCACTGCAGATGGTGCAAAAAAAAAGATATTACTCAAAATAACTTTTGCTCCAATAATCAACTTGCGCTAGTTAATAATTGTTAATTGAGTTACGAAATCAGACACTAAATCTTAATTCTCAGAATAAACATTTCTTTTTTTACATATCTTGATCCTAGACCTTCAAAATTTGGGGGTTAGCCGAAATCTGGAAGTTGTGATCCTAATAGTTTTGTCAGGAGAGCGGATGAAAGTTCCGATTGTCACAAATAAGTGCCAGCAGGAAATATAATCAACTAATAAATCAATGTAAAAAAGTAAAGCTTGAAACCAAACTACACTAATTGCTTCACCAGGAAGGAATGCAAATAACAGAATGATAATTGGGCACATACATTATAGTTGGAAGAACAAATTATTAAATTTTCAGGATATTTTGGATGTATAGATCCTGAGGAATCAGTACTCAGAGCAGCCTCCCCTGGATGCAATAACAGCAGTTATTCTCCTGGGCATCGAGACAAACCTTATTTTAACTTGAAGTGAAATAACTTGTATTGACATATTTTGATGTTAAGTGATGTTTTAGCTAAAATTATAAAATTGCACGACTTATATCTTTTTTTTCCCTTTATATTAAAATATAGTGAAGTTGAAAGTGCTGCAATTTATTTTATGTAAGCAAACTTACATATATAATAAACCGTGCACTTTAAAATCCTCAATATTTATTTCTAAAATTCAAACATGTTTAGTTAAAGGGCGAAGACGTCATTCAAGCGTATGTTGATCGTATATTGGAAGTGAATCCCATTATCAATGCTGTCGTCCAAGATAATTTTGAAGAAGCACTTCGAGAAGCAAAGGAAGTGGACACCTTTATTGAGTCAGGGGAGTTCTCCTTAAAGGAATTGAAGGAGGAAAAGCCCCTCCTCGGGGTCCCTTTTACAGTTAAATGCAGTTTTTCAGTGAAAGGTAATTATTTTGGCATACATTATAACAGTTATAGCAATTCTTCTTCAAAGAAAATCTTTAACCCTTTGACGGTTAGGGAAATGAGCAGTTTTCGTTTCATTAATTCGCGCAGTATTACGAACAAACGGTAGTCGAAAGTGGTAGCTGTTTTCCCCCGCGGTTCTTCCAAAAATGTCACCCTTGTTTTGCAATGCCAAGTGCTCCGCTTTCTGGAATTATTATAATAAAGTGGTAGCAAATTATGTACTAAATTTCGTTGGAGAAGCACAGTTACGCTTACTTTTTAATAAAGTAGCCAGTAGATTGTTGCGTTAACGTTGCATTTTATGTGATACTTATAATTTTTGATATATAGTGGTGAAAAAATTACTTAAAAGGAAAAATACTAAACTGAAAGTAACTTGAATTTCGCTACCAATAAAAAATACTATTTTACAAAGTGGAGCAAGCTGGCATATCTGGCGATGCCGTAGATAGCTCGCCTCACGCGTTTTAAAAATTTCTTAAAGTATTTGTAGTACATAAATAATAGTTTTTACGTACTTTAGAATAATAAATTATAATTATTAATAGTAAATTATAAATGATTATAATTAATTAAATAAATAATAGTTAATTATAAATATAAGACAAATAATAAATTGAAAGGACTAAATAAATACAACTAATGTAAAACTTTATGAAGCATTTAAATGCAGCAATTACTTAAATACTCTGAGCAAAGTCTTCATCAGACTCAAAACTTGATAAGCTTTCTGTATCACAATCATAATCATCATCATAATTATCTAACTTTCGCTTTTCAGTCATTTTACTTTACAAACACCCTAAAAATCGCACCAAAATACACGTAAAAAGAACAAGGTAAAAAAATTAATTCCCCCTTCATTATGAAAAGAAATTCATGGAAACCGTACTGTCATCTGTAGGCAGTAAAACTAACTACGTTTCGAGAGTAGGATTCACTTTTAACATAGTCAATGCAGAATAATAATGGCGAACGAGCTCAGCTCGTCAGCGCGCATTGGGGAAAAATTTCACTACGCGAGTAGTGCTCGTTATTAACCATTACGGTCAAAATCTTGCTCCCGAGCGGAACTCGTTTGCGCGCGTTATGAAGTACGATTTGATTGCTAGCCGAACTCGTTCATAACCATCAAAGGGTTAAGTATATCATTATTTGAAAATAAATTATCACTAAAAACGTTTTTAATTAAATCTTTATCAATTTAAAAACTTCTCAGAAATGGTAAATTATTAAATATAATTAAATCGTGACTTATCATGGTATCGTAAAAGGTATTTATATTACTTACTACCTCTTCGTGCCGAACTTGCACATACGGCCTCGATTCTTTTTCTAAACTTGACCATTCAGTGCACTTCTTCCCATCTAGTTAATCCTGATCTACTACGATCTTCCTTAATGCATCTTTGCCATGTTAGTCTCGGTCTCCCTCTTTTTCTCTTTCTGTCAGGAACCCATGAGATTGCAACATTTGCAGGATTCTATCTGTTCCTAGTATGTGGCTGAGCCATCTCATCATCGTTTTAAAATTTCGTCTTTAACAGATGGGATATTAGCTTTTCTTAAAAGGTCTTTATACACTTTTTCATTCAGCATTTCATTTTAGCATTTTTTCTTGCATATATCAGACACTAAATCTTAATTCTCAGAATAAACATTTCTTTTATGCATATATTGGATTTACTCATTT